ACTATATGTAAACACACCAAAGCTTTGGACTAGAAAATTTTTAAATTTCCTTTCAAAGCTATATTCTTAAAAGCATTATGGGGCAGGAGAGAACTTTTGGGGTGGGACGACATGCATATGTGTCCTTGTGCCTTTTTATAAAAAGGAATTGTTATATCTACACCTATTAGCTTGTGACTTTGGAATTCAAGATAGGACTCAAGTAACTGAGATTCTTCCTTAATTTCCAGATGCCCCAGCAGTCCCCGATCTCTTAGGAAGCTTCCCTTTTCACGCAGATTCTTTTCCACTCCCAGCTCTAGCTCCCCACAGCGACCCCATCAGATGAGGGGGCGCCCTGGTAATGAGCTGCAGGAGTCCCGCAGGACTTGAAAAACCGCTGCGCTCGGAGAAGTGGTGTTCGCGCGCACCCAGGTGGAAAACAGTGGAACCGCAGGTGCGATCTTCTGGCTCCGCCTCCGGGGCCAAAGGCCTTCCAGGTCACCTAGAAGCTTCCGTCCATTGGAATCCACCCGACACGTAGCGGAGGAGGAGGCTCCAGTGACCAAGTTGGGGGCGTTGGGGGCTGAAAGAGTGAGGGGTATACGGTACTGGGGATGGAAAGGGTGTGAATGGAAGAGGGGAGGGTCTTGGGCATGCGCAGGAGCATGGGACACCAGAGAGAAGTGGGAGAGCCTGTGAGTCCGTACCACTCCATCCTAGACTATCAGGGCAGGACTCTCGGACTAGGACTCTGCGCCGCCAACTGACTCCAAGCCATGTGCTTGGGTTTGTCTGATCCCAGGCATCAAGTGTCCGCGCTGTTCAGTGTCTTCCCTGTGTATACACGTGTTGGGGGAGGGAGCGCCTTAGGCCTGAGACCTGGGCAGGATTATGGAAAGGTGGCATGAAAGGGACACAGTTGTCCCCCACTCTCCGCAGATGAAGTCCTCAATCCATGACACCCCTTGTTCCTGCGACTGCTTGGTCTCCATGCCTCCGGCCTCTGCCATTCCAGCTGTGATCTTTGCAAAGAACTCAGACAGACCCCGGGATGAGGTGCAGGAGGTGGTGTTTGTACCAGCAGGCACTCACCCCCCTGGGAGCCGGCTCCAGGTGGGTAAGGCCTTATGCGATACTGAAAAAGGTGGCAGTTCTAGGCATTCTTCTAAGACCTTCTTCCTCTGCTTTCTACACTTGGGAGGTTGTCAGATGTGGTACAAAAGAAATATGAGCTTCAAGTCTACCAACCTGGACTGTAAGCCTATTATTTAGCCAATGGACCCCAGTTTCCTCAGCTGTAAAATGGGAATAAGACCTTCCCAAGGACAATACCTAAGGTGATTGGCAAAGTGCCTGCACAGTGTAGGTTCTGGCTCTCTCTGAGTGGATGCTTCCTTTCTTTCTGCCTCCAGTGCACCTACATTGAGGTGGAACAGGTGTCGAAGACCCATGCTGTGATTCTGAGTCGTCCTTCTTGGCTGTGGGGGGCTGAGATGGGTGCCAATGAGCATGGTGTCTGCATTGGCAACGAAGCTGTGTGGACCAAGGAGCCAGTTGGGGATGGGGAAGCCCTGCTGGGCATGGACCTGCTCAGGTATGTATGCTTCCCTCCTCCATCTCCCTTTTCCTCCCTCCCCAAGTCTGGTTCATAGGGGCAGACTCCTTTCTGCTGAATTTGCCCTTATGCCCTCCCAGGGGAGGCTTCCCTGCCCCTCCTCTCTCCTGGCCCCATTTCCTCAGTCTGATAAGGAGCCTGTCCTGGCCCAGAAATAGGATGGCACTGGTTTACATTTTTTAATAGAGTAATTTTTTTTTCAATTGAAATCTCATGTAGAATCCAGGTTTATAAAACTGATAAGAGCAGCTCTGATGGAGGACAAGTTTGGGGCTCAGGGCACTTCTCTCTCTCAGACTGTTTCAGGCCTTCCTATGGAATCTTCAGAGCACAGCTTAGAAACCACTGTGTTTAATATGACCAATGCCAGTGGGTTTGCTGTGTGACTTGGGCTTGTTACCAAATATCTCTGGGTCACTTCTGTCCCCTGACCTCTTTCTTTGCCAGGTTGGCTTTAGAACGGGGCAGCACTGCACAGGAGGCCCTGCATGTGATCACAGGCTTGCTGGAGCGCTATGGGCAGGGGGGCAGCTGCCGGGAGGATCCCATGCCATTCTGCTACCACAACACTTTTCTGCTGGCTGATCGGACTGAGGCATGGGTGCTGGAGACAGCTGGGAGACTGTGGGCTGCACAGAGGATCCAGGGTGAGGGGCCCAGTGCCAGGGCCCACCTCCCAAAGTTGTTCCCCTTTGGAGGTGATAGAGCTGGTGGGGCAGAGAGGGACACCATCTAGGTGCCAACTTTTGGGGACATCCAAGGAGATGGGAAATGAACCCTTATAGGGTTCCTTTCACCTGGTTAAGTCCTCCTGTGGGTGAGCCTGTCACTTCCTCTGGGAAGCCTTCCTGGACTTCCCTGGGTAGTTAGGCTCTTCCTTACATGCAAGCAGGTACCTCTTCGCCATTGCATTTATCTCTGTGATTATTTTCTCTCCCCTACCTCTATAGCCCCATGAGGGTAGGGTGTTCTTGTCACCATCATATTCTCAGCACCTAGCCCAGAGCTTGGCATAGAATGGGTACTTCATGATAAATGAACAACTCCCCTATCTCCTCCACAGGGGGTGCTCGAAACATCTCCAACCAGCTGAGCATTGGCACGGACATCTCAGCTGAACATCCGGAACTTCGGAGCCATGCCCAGGCCCAGGGCTGGTGGACTGGACAGGGCGCCTTTGACTTTGCTCAGGTCTTCTCTCTGACCCAGCAACCTGTGCGCATGGAGGCTGCCAAGGCACGCTTCCGGGCTGGGCGGGAACTGCTACAGAAATGGCAAGGTCTGTGAGTGTGGGTGGGTGAGTGGGGTCCCAGGAGGGCCACAGTTCTCCCTCTGCTGGGAATTTCACGCTTTCCTTCTTGGCAGGGAGCATCACAGCAGAGGTGATGATGGACATTCTCAGAAACAAAGAGAGTGGCATTTGTATGGACTCTGGAGGCTTCCGAACCACAGCCAGCATGGTGTCCATCCTGCCTCAGGATCCCACGCGGCCCTGTGTCCACTTCCTCACAGCCACACCAGACCCATCCAGGTGAGAAGAATGAGGGTTTGGGGTGCTGCGTACCAAGCAGGGGAGGCGACACGAGATGAGCCACCTCAGTCTTGCTGTCCATATTCCATTAGGTCAGTGTTCAAACCTTTCATCTTTGGGGTGGGGGCGACTCAGGCCCCCCAGGTGCTGTCCCCCACTTTTGGAGCACAGGATCCTGTTCGGACCCTGCCTCGATTCCAAACTCAAGTGGATCGCCGTCACATGCTCTACCGTGGACAGCAGGTGGCCCTGGGGCTGATGGAGAGTGAGCAGGTAACCCCAGGGGATAGGGTACACCCTGGAGGGACACCCCCACACCTACTGGCACTTTGGAAATAAGGAGCTGGGAGGAGACTGCAGAGCTGGGAGAGAGGCCCCACTTTTGGAGCCAGCTGCCATGGACAGGGTGGTGACCTTGGCTTTCTCCTCCTGAGACACATTCCCCGCTCTGGCCTTTTCCAGCAGGAGCAGGGGCAGCAGCTGCGGCAGAAGCAGCAGGACCTGGAGCAGGAAGGCTTGGAGGCTGTGCGGGGGCTTCTGGCTGGTGAGCGGACCCCAGCCCACCAGGAGCTGGGTGGCCTCTTCCAGGCCTTCGTGGAGAGGGAGAGCCGGGCCTACACAGAGCTGAGCACATAGCTCCTCCTGGCCCAGGGCGGGTGCAGGATCCTAGCCCCAGCTGCCCTGAGGTGGTGGTGGTTTGGGGCAATTCCTTCCTGCCCCTTGGCCTATTCTGTGTGGCTGGTGCAGCCTTGGCCTTAATAAATGTGGTTTATTTTCTTGTTCAGTGAGCTGAATTCCAGGTTCAGTGGGGCACAAGAGGCTGGTGAGGGCAAAGGGCAGACCCAGATTTGCCACACCAGCACATTTTAAAAATTTTCTTCTTTCCTTTGTTTTATTCCTCCCTTCCTTCCTTCTAATGTTCTCCCTTCCCTCCTTCCTTTTCTTTCTTCTTTCCTTCCTTATTTTCTTTCCTCTCTCAGGATTTAGCCCAGAGGTACATAATCACATCCCCAGCCCTTTTTATTTTTTTATTTTGAGACAGGGTCTTGCTAAATTGCTTAGGGACTCACTAAGTTACTGAGGCTGGCCTCAAACTTGCAATCCTCCAGCCTCAGCCTCCTGAATCCCAGACATTACAGGTGTGCACACCACACCTAGCTCTACCCAGCACATTCTAATGAGGGAGGTGATAAGGATTAGCCATGAAATTTGTGGAGGGAATGTGAGAACAGGGAGGAAACATCCCTAATGGTGTGGGTATGTGTTATTTTTTTGTGTGGGTGCATACATGTGTGCGCATTAAGATCAAAGATCATGCCTTGTGTGGTAGCTGGCTCCTATTTGTGAGGACATTTATTTATTTATTTATTGTGATTGAACCCAAGGCCTTGCATGTGCTAGGCAAGTACTCTACCACTGAGCTACACCCTCAGCCCTGTCTGGGGACAATTAGGACCACAGGATTTGGGTCCTTGGCTTAGAACTGGGAAGGACACACCCTTGGAGGGGCAGTGAGGTGTACCCTGAGAGATGGCCTCCTCCATGAGGCAGTACCCACTTCCTGCCCACTCAGGAGCTGTGACGCCAACTGGGACCCTGAAGGATATCAGCCTTTTGGAAGATTAGAAATTTGTTCTTTAGCTAGGCATGGCGGTGCACACCTATAATCCCAGTGGTTTAGGAGGCTGAGGAAGGATGATCACAAGCTCAAAGCCAGCCTCAGCAACTTAGCAAGGCCCTAAGCAACTCAGGGAGACTCTGTCTTTTATAAATAAAATACAAAAAAAGGGCTGGGGATGTGGCTGGTTAAGCACACCCGGGTTCAATCCCTAGTACCAAACAAAAAAAAAAATAAAGGAAGGAAGGAAGAAATTAGTGTTTTAGAATTAGGTTGCTATTTTATTTACTGGTTCCTTCCCCTGAGGTGCCGCCAAGTGACATGAAAAGCCTAGAGACAGTTTACCAGGGAGGGGCTCCTGCCACAGGTGAGGGGCGAGAGGACAAGAGGAAGCTCACATAGGGAGGTCACACGTCACTTCTTGGTATTTTTGGTTGCAGTTTTGGTTGTGCTAAGGGACCCAACCAGAGAGGCTTTGGGGGCTGCTGCTGCTGGGGCCCCCTTCCTTGCCTGGACAGAGCTTGGCTGGGCCCTGGGAACCAGAGTGCATGGTTTCTTGGTGGGAGATGAGGCTTGGAGTGAAGAGGCAGCCTCAGGGGGTGACTCCTTTCCTTGCTCTGGAGTGACAGAAGGGCTGCTCTCCCCAGCCTCGGGCAGCTCAGTAAGGGTGGGCTGGATCTCCATCCTCAGAAGGTGCTCTGCCAAGGCCTCCTGCTGCCTGCGCTCCTGGTGTCTGCTCAGCTGCTCCAGCTCCTTGAGGAAGCCTGGGAGGGGCCAGGGTGGTGGCTGGAGCCTAGGGCTCAGCAGGAGGGCCCTCTGGGTTCTGGAAGGTCTCTGGGTGATCCCGCACCACACATCCTTAGTAGGGAGGAGCCCAAGGCTGACAATGGGGAGGAGTGAGTCCCCTGCATGCCCAGGACAAGGACCTGGCCTGGCTGCACTTTCTACCACCCATGACCCAGATGCTGATTGGGATTAAGGCCACTCCCCAGACACCACCGCCCTCTTAGCTTCCTCCGGACCCCATAGGTTGCTGCAAGCTATGGAAAACAGTGTCACCTCGCTCTGAACAGAATGGGCCACCCAGCTCCGGGAACTCATCGTCACCATCAGAGGCTTTGTCCTCCTCATCTGAGGCCCAGCGCTCCGACACAGGCTGCCCATCCAGGTCCAGGAGCAGTGGCAGGGCTCCTAGCACCATCTCCCTGCAAGGCAGTAAGAGCAGAGGCTACTGAGGAAGGCATCCTTGGTGTGGAACCTGGGAGGACACAAGGACACATGTCACAGCATCCACACCTGGACAGATGGCAGCTCATGGTCTAGCAGTGGGGCCTCAGGTCAGCCCCAAAGAGCTAAGGGCTGGCTTCTGTGCAGCATGGGAACGAAATGGGGAAGGAGCAAACTTGAACTGTTGGGCTGGAGGAGCAGGGGCCATGGGCAATGCCAGGTTTGCAGGCTGGGAAGGAGCCCTTGTGGAGTTAGTAGGCGGAACTTAACCAGGACCTTGTTCCTCCCACCCTCAGTCCCTCACCTGTAGCACTTCTGCTTGGTGCAGCTGTTGCCAGTCAGGTTGAGGATGAGGAGGCTCTGGGGAAGCTCATCTGCACATGGAGAGACACAGGGAGTGAGGCTCTCATACCAACTCTGCACCCTCTGAGGATGAAGTGTATGTGCAGGATTGTGTTGAGCACAAGCACAGGGAGGTGGCGGAGGAGGGCAGAAAGAAGGGAGGACCCCACACAGGACAAGTGCCGTGAGCCAGGGCTAGGGTGTTCCTACCTGGCTTCAGCGTTTCTATCAGGTTCTCAGAGAGGTCCAGAAACTGGAGGTATGGGAGGTTGAGGAGGTTTTCCACGTGCCTGATTCTATTTCCTGCTAGAGACAGGAAACTAGGGAAGGAAGGGTGGGGGGCAGAGACAGGACTGTTGAGGAAGAGAGGAAGACACCAGACACCTGGGCCCCCTGTCAGGCAGTTGGATGACTAGTGGGGACACATGGCCTATGGGGGTAGAGGAAGCAGAGCAAGGCTTGGAAAGAGCTGATCAAGGCTGATCAAGAGCCAGGCTTGGAAAGCTCTGAGCAGGTTCTTGGGGTATTGCCGTGTTTCCCCTCCCACTCCTTACTCCTTCCCCCACCTGAGCCTTGGTGCCACATACCGCAAGGAAGGGATGCAAGCCAGGTTCTCAATTCGCTGGATCTTATTCTGCAGGAGGAAACCAAAGTGGGGGAAACCAAGCTGTCAGTTGGGTGGGGAGCCCTGTAAGGGGACAAAGCCCCAGTACCACAGCTGCACTTAAAGCTGGAGATGTTGCACTTTGGGAACAACCCCACTCCTGACTGCTTGTCGCTATCTTTGGGAGATGATTGGCTTTCTTTGGATGGATAGCTAAAAGTATAAACTTGGGGCTGGATAAACTGGTTTGAAATACCCTTCTCTGACCCCGCAGCCAAAGAGGGACCTTGGAATCAGGGAAGGAAACCAAGGGCCACTAGAAAATTGGAAAAAGCCTTGGTGGTGACTTGCATGGCAAAAGGGGAAAATGAGCACATATTCATTTGATTTGAAGAGTTTCTGTGGGGAAACTGAAAGGGAGCTGGGAATATGAAGGCTGGGGGAGTCTGAAGACCACCACCAATGTTTAGCAGCCTTCAAGGATCCAAAAGGTGTAGAGGAATCTTCAGTTTTCTTCTTCTTCAAAACAGGAATGGGCTTGGGCTGTATAATATGAAAAGTTTAGGGCAGATACCAAGAAGAACTAGACCAAAAGAAGTGTCTGACTAAGGAGCAACAATTCAAGGGCATGTTCAAGATCTCTTTCAGAGGGATCAGTCTTTCAACTGAGGAGAATTCCTGATTTATTTGGGAATGATTTAAACATAGACCTATTTGTCTGAACATCAAAGAAGGCACAAGATGACCTGTTTGGATGCTTTTGGATTAGACAGACCTAGTCCACAAGGGGTCAGGGGAAAGGAAGAGCAAGGGGCAAGAGTTACCGCTTGTAGATAAAGACTGTGAAGATTCTGGAGACTCTCTAAGTTCTTGATAGTGGTAATCCCCTCCCGGTCCAGGCGGACAATCTGCAGCTCAGCAAGGGTGTGAAACCTGGGAGAAGATTGGGTGGAGTGGTGTGATAAAGCTCACCTCTGTGGTTTCAGCAGGAGAGATGGGAGGGAGGAGGAGGAGAAGAGATGTTTTGAGGAGGGGTAGATGGCTGAGTGACTCTCATCATTGTCAAGAACAGCTTCTTGACCCATGAAGTGACGTCCAGGTCGTGAAGCTGGCTTGCCTAAGAGACCTCTATCTCTGTTGATGGCACTGGGGAGAATCAGACTGAGAGAGTAGAGGCCCTTTGGGAAACTGAGTGAAATCCATTCATGATTCCTGGAGAGATTTGGAGGCCAGAAAATTCTTTCTTGGGCCAGCCTAGATGGTAGGTAGGGCAGTAATGATAGCATCTCTGCAGGAAGATCCTTCCTCATTCTACCTTTTGAGTGGTCCATAGAGTGAAAGTCACCCATTCCATCCACGAATTCATTCATTAATTCCACAACATTTACTGGGTTCCAACTAGAGATAAATGACAGAGTCTCTGCCCATCACTCTTAGGGAAGTCTTCAGACTCCCCCAGCCTTCATCTATGACAAGTGGGTGACAGAGCCAGGTACAAGGGTCTCTGGCAGCTGTGCACCAGGTCTGGAATAAGGGGATCCAGAATTGCTTTCTAGAGGAAGTGACAGATGAGTAGGAGTTAGCTACAAAGCTGGGAGGGGGACAGGGAGAAGGCATTTCAAGCAGAATGAACAGTACATGTGTATGCTAATTCAGCCCTTCTCAAACTTTAATAGGCCTACCAATCCCTTGGGATCATTAAAATGCAGATTCTTATTCAGTAGTTCTGCAGTGAGCCTCAGATTTTTTTTATTTCTAATGAACTCGTAGATGAATGCCAGTGTCATTGCCCCCAACACCTTTGAGTAACAAGGTGCTAAGGTGTGAGAACACACTAATGGAGAGTTGTTGGAAATAGGCTGAAGAGAACAGAGGCCAACTCATTTTAAGGCATTTGGAGTTTATTGTGGAGATAATAGGGAGCCGAGGAAGTTTCTATTACAGAGTACCTGATCAGATTTGTTATTTAAAAGGATTGCTTTAAATAAATAATGTGGCTCAAGCGGTAGCGCGCTCGCCTGGCATGCACAGGGCACTGGGTTTGATCCTCAGCACCACATAAAAAATAAAAATAAAAAAAATAAAGATGTTGTGTCCACTGAAAACTGAAAAAAAAAATTTAAAAAAAGGATTGCTTTAAGCCATACAGTACTACACACCTATAATTCCAGCAATTTGGGATTCTGAGGTAGAAGAACCACAAGTTCTAGGCCAGCCTTGGCAATTTAGCAAAACTTTAATAAAGTGCCCTGGGTTCAATCTCAGTATTAAATAAATAAATAAAAAGATTTCTGACAAAGGATGACAGTCTTATCTAAGGCAGCTGAGTGAGGGCGCTGGAAAGCAGTTTTTGTTGTTGTTGTTTTGTTTTGTTTTTGGCACTGGGAATTAAATCCAGAGGCCAGAGGCGCTGAACTACATACCCAGTCTTTTTTATTTTTTTTATTTTGAGATAGGGTCTCTCTAAGTTGCTGAGGCAGATATTGAACTTGCAGTCCTCCTGCTTCAGTCTCCTGAGTTACTGAGATTACTGCACCACTGTGCCTGACTGAAAGGAACGATTTTTAAAAAAATTTATTTTTTTAGTTGCAGTTGGACACAACATCTTTATTTTATTCATTTATTTTTATGCAGTGCTGAGGCTCGAACCCAGCGCCTCGGACGTGCTAAGCAAGCACTCTATCGCTGAGCCACAGCCACAGCCTTTAAAAGGAACGATTTTTAAGGAGGGAAAATCATTGGACACGATCACTGATTGGAGTGGGAGTAAGTAAAGAAATAAGGATGAGTGGACGAATCTGTAGGGTTCAGCGAACTGGTCATTACGTGAAGCCCCCCCCCCCCCCGCCCCGCACTCACATCTTCTCTGACAGATCTTCATCCTCAGGGTAGGTCAAGTTCCGCTCAGTAATAAGGGCCTCAGTAATGTAGACATCCTTTTCCTCTGGACTCTGGGCAAGTTTAGCTGTGAAAACATGAGTCCAATTGTCATCTTTCTTCTTTCTTGGAGGCTGACCCTACCGTTGTCCAACTGTTCTACTTACCAACCCACTTCCCTACTTACCCCCAGGCATGATGTAAAATAGACAGCTGCTAGCTTGAGGCGAGAGAGGAACGAAGAAGAGCGGAGAAGTTCCTAAGGATGGACTGTTCTTAAGGATGGCCAAACCGAGAATGGCAGGCGAGAGAGAATCCTAGACTTGGGAGACAGTGGAAAGGGGTTGGTTGACTCAGAACAACTTGTTAGGGATGTAGTCGAAGACAAGTAAATAGGGATGAAGGGTTTGGAGTTTGTGGGGGTGTGGAAAGACTTTGCTGGCAGCAAATTGGGCGGTTGTGGGTAGGAGGGATAAGAAAGGGGCGGTTTCCAAGAGTTCGTGTCGTTGCTAGGATACCAGACGCCAGCTAGAGAGGAAGTGAAGAGAGGGTGCCGCTCTGCGCATGCGGATTACGGCTCTATCCGGAAGATCTGCCCACCACTTCCGACCCCAGAGTTCGCTGGCCCATAATCCTTAGCTTCTTCCGGCTCCGTACCGCTTCTGTCTGTTTTTCCGGTGGCGATGGCTGCGGCCGCGGCTGGAATGCTGCGAGGGGGTCTCCTGCCCCAGGCGGGTAAGGAGCGGCCCGTAAGATCTCACTGCGTATTTGGCCAGCGCTCTCTAATCCTCGTCTCCCCTCCTCTACTTCTGACACTTCCGGTTGTCTCTGACTCCAGAGATGTCCTGGTGATCCCTGACACCAGTTAGATCGCGGATCTTATCCCATCTAATTCCCTGTGACTCCAGATTATCATAGCAACGATGTCACCAACAAAAGCATTTATTCCTTACGTCCCGATCCCCCTGCCTTGGGTTTCTTTACCCCACCACTTAGCTCTCGCCCCTGGTTGCAACAGTCTTTGCCCGAACTTTTGCTGTATGCCTCCTTCTGAAGCTCTAAGCCTGATTGTCGCTTCCTCAAGTTTTCCCTCTGACCTCTGTAAAGCAGGTTTCTTCAGTTAATTCTGTATCATGTACCCTGTTTACTGACCCCCTCGCCCCATTATAGCCTGTAAGTTTACTTTTATTTATTCGTTTATCTCCTGTGTTAAGCTCTGAAAGGACAGAATCATTTATACAGCATAGCCAGCAGGCAGCATGGTTTCTGACCTTAGTGGCATGCAGGAGATAATTGTTTAATGAATTAATTAGAGCATTTATTATAGGCCAGGAACTGTGATAAATGTTTTACACATATTATCCCATTTAGATCTTGAAGCATACTGTAAGGAAAGGATTACCATCTGCCCTTTACAGATGAGGAAACAAGTTTTGGACCAGTTTAGTGACTGGGCAAGGTCACACTTAGTAAGTGGCTGAAGAAATATTAAAATTCAGTTTCATCCGATTCCAAAGCCACTTATAACAATTAGATTTTGTGGCCACTGGCAATAAACTTCTAGCCCTAGCAGGTCTCCATGCTGTCTGTCAGAGCTACCTTCTAGCAGACCCTTTTTCTGAGGTCCCATCTCAGCCTTGGGAGGGGCTGAAATTAGGAAACATTAGGCTTGGCCCTTGTGTTGAGGATGAAGGGGTCACTTTAGCTCAGGGCTTTAAGTGTCTCTTTGTTTTCTGAGGGGTGCGCTCAAGCATTGCCTGTCAACAAGAAGAGAGAAGGGAAGAGAGATGTGGAAGAGTAGCATAATGGTCAGGTAGCATTCTGGTCATAAATGTGTGCCTACCCTTGCTTCAAATGATAGGAACAGCCCTCACCAGTGTTTGAGCATGGTTTTCAAACTTGAGCATGCATCAGAATCACCAAGAGAACTTATTATTTTTTTGGTGTTACTGGGAATTAAACTCTGGGCCTTTCCTGTGCTAGAGAAACTTTCTACTACCAAGCTATATCTCAAGCCCCCACCAGGAGGGTTTTACCAAAACACTCTGCTAAGCCCTACCCCAGAGTTTGATTCAATAGGTCTAGGGCAGGTATTTCTAACAGACTATTGGAGGATGCTGATGTTGATGGCTGAGTGAGGGTAGGTTATACTTCAAAAACCACTGACTTGGACCAGGGGTTGGCATATCATGGCAAGGCTAGTCACTGAGGTTTTTTATTTTTGTTTTGTTTTGTGGTGCTGGAGATTAAACTCGGGAGTATGTTAGGCAAGTGTTCTACCACTGAACTATACCTCCAGCCCTTGGTCACTGTATTTTATAAATAAAGTTTTATTGGAACAAACCTTATCTGTTTTTTACATAAATGTCCATGGTCACATTTTGGCATAGTTGAATATAAGTGACAGATAGTACAACCCCCAAATCTAAAATATTTACTATTTGTCCATTTAGGAAAAGGTTTGCTGAGCCCTTTCCCCCTTTGTTTAATGTGTTTGAAATATTTTCTCCTTTGTTCTCATTTTTTATCCCATCTCTGCATAAAAAGCAAACTGGAGAAATGGGAGCCTCAAGAGATCAAGCAGCTGACCCACTAAAAAAGAGAAGGTTTGGGATTTCAGGATTTCTGGCAGGCACTTCCTTGTCTATCTCTGTGAGCCATGTTGTGTCTGTCTAGAGGCTGTGCTTTTGCTCCATTTAGGGCAAACTAGGGCCTCCAAAAGATTGTATTTCACTGTGTTACCATCTCCTCCCTCAGGCCGGCTGCCCACCCTCCAGACTGTCCGCTATGGCTCAAAGGCCGTAACCCGCCACCGTCGTGTGATGCACTTTGAACGTCAGAAGCTGATGGCTGTGACTGAGTATATTCCCCCCAAACCTGCCATCAACCCAAGGTGCCTGCCACCTCCCCCCAGCCCTCCCAAGGAGGTAAGGAGGAGATTGCATGCACATCACTTGGTGGTGGGATAGTGGATTAAAATGATTTTTTCTCTCATAGTGAAGTGGGACTCCAAACCACAGTCACTCATATCATTGTTTCACTTCTACTTGATCCTGTGGCCCAGGTACTTTAAGATGAAATCTGCACTTGATTCTACATTTGCCTGTGGGTTCTATGGATTAGATGGCCTCCTGGATTTCCTTCATTCTGTTCTTGTCTCTAAAAATGTGTGTGTGTGAGGGCTGGGGTTTTGGCTCAGTGGTAGAGTGCTTGCCTAGCATGTGTGAGGCACTGGGTTTGCTTCTCAGCACCACATAAAAATGAATAAATAATGGCATTTAAAAAATGCATGTGAAAGCTACCTGGGCAGGTGTGGGGAGGGGAGAGGTCTCTGCTATTTTTGTGTTTTTTGTTTTCTGTTTTTTTTGCAATATTAGGGATCAAACCTAGGGACTGGTGCATGCTAAGCAAGCACCCTACCACTAAGTGACACCCCCAATCCTCTCCTGTCTTAAAAGGAGTTGACGCTTTCATGTTTTCCTTAAGAAATGAGAAAATCATTCTGTCCTTAAAAAAAACAGGAAGACCAGTGGAGTTTTGTATCTTTTTAATTTTTTAAATTTATCTTTATCCTATTTACCTTTATCCTATTCATTTATTTATATGAGAATCGATCCCAGTGCCCCACACATGCTAGACAAGTGCTCTACCACTGAGCCACAACCCCAGCCCTGGGAATTTGTATCTTTTTAGTGGCTTTTGTTTTGTATACCTAATAAATTCTAGTATTCTAGTTGTCTGCTGCTTCTTAAGGATTAGGTAGCTGTCTTCTCTTGTAGGAGAGAAGGACATCAGCAAATGTAGCCTGAGGGAGTTAGGTCAGATGGAAGAGATGCTCTGAGTCATTGAGCAGCTTCCTCAAAGGTGAATGAGAAGACAACCTAGCATCTGGGTTTTTGCCTGTGAAAACACAGAGCACTCTGAAATGGCCCTGTAGGGTCAGCCCATGGAGCATTGCTTGGCAAACCACACTTTAGTGACTGGGCCTCTTCCATCAGCACTTAGGAAATTTTTGTTTGGTTTTGCATCTTTAAAAAGAAAGCAAACAAACTTAAATATTACTCGACCTTTATTTTTTTGTTTTGCTTTTTTGAGATTGAGATCTCACCATGTACCATGTTCTCCAGACTGATCTTATTTATTTATTTATTTATTTATTTATTTTAGTTGTCAATGGACCTTTATTTTATTTATTTATATGTGGTGCTGAGAATTGAACCCAGTGCCTCATGAGTGCTAGGCAAGTGTGCTACCACTGAGCTACAACCCAGCCCTCCAGACTGATCTTGAATTCATGAGCTCTGGTGATCCTCCTGCCTCAACCTCCCAAGTAGCTGGGGCTATAGGCATGTGCTGCCACACCTGGGTCAATCCAGTTAAAGCCTATTCACAGCATTTCCCTCTCAGTTCAGACAAATTGTATGGAATTTTTCTCCCATAGTTTTTTCTTAGGCCATTTGGGCATGCTACTTCTTAACTGTAGAAGAATCTAAAATAGCACATGCAGTAGAACTTTGTGAAATGTTGGAGACGTTCTATATCTGCACTGTCCAATATGGTAGCCACTTGCCACTTGTGACTACTGAGCGCTTGAAATAAAGCTAGTGTGACTGAGTAACTGATTCTTAATTGTGTTTGATTTTAATTACTTTAAATATAAATAGCCACATTTGCCTTAGTGGCTACTGTATTGAACACGGCAGGTCTGGAACCTACATTTAGTACAATATTGTATTTTTTTCATGGAATTCTGCAAAAAGCACATGACTTCTAGGTTGTCCACTTTTTAAATATATTTTATTATTTTCAATTTTTTTTTAATGTTTTTTGTGGTGCTGAATCAAACCCAGGGCCTTGAGAATACTAGACAAGCACTTTGCTACTAAGCTACATCCCCAGCTAAATAAATTTTAGATTCTTTGCTTTAGGGAAAAAGAAAATCTTAAACAGTGTTGTAGAGATATGTAAGTGTATTCTTAGGTCCTAAGGTTCTCAATTTTGAGAAACATTTTCTTTAAGAAAATTAAGTTTTGGGCTGGGGATGTGGCTCAAGTGGTAGCACGCTCGCCCGGCGTGCTTGCGGCCCACGTTCGATCCTCAGCACCACATACAAACAAAGATGTGTCCGCCGAAAACTAAAAAATAAATATTAAAAATCTCTCTCTCTCTCTCTCTTTAAAAAAAAAAAGAGAAAATTAAGTTTTGTTCTGTGAAAAATGTTTTGTCTCACATTTAAACTAACAGTGCAAAAGTTGTGTTGTATTTTTCTTTCTTTCTTTTTTTTTTCTTTGTGGCAGGGGTAACCAGGGATAGAACTCAGGGGTACTCCACCACTGAGCCACATCCCTAGTCCTGTTTTATACTTTATTATATTTTATTTTTAATATTTTATTAGTTGTTGATGGACCTTTATTTATTTGTTTGTTTAATTATTTATTTATATGTGTTGCTGAGAATTGAACTTAGTGCCTCATACATGCTAGGCAAGCACAACCCCAGACTGTATTTTATACTTTATTTAGAGACAGGGTCTCATGAGTTGCTTAGTGCCTCACTTTTGCCAAGGTTGGCGTTGAACTCACAATCCTCCTGTCTCAGCATCTTAAGCTGCTGGGATTACAGGTGCACACCACTGCACCCGGTTCTTTTTTTTTTTTTTCCTTTTAATTGGTGTTATGGATTGAACCTGGGTCCTCATGCATGCTAAGCACAAGCTTTGTCACCCAACTATATCCTCATCTTGTATTTGTAACTGGTAAAATAATTTAACATGAGTACAGTGTCAGATTGATAACTGAAGTAATTTTCACAATATTATTGTCAAACAGTGTTGACTAGGGAGCCTGCTGACCTGTTTGGGGAGGTCAAGAGTTCTTAAGTTTGAAAGCACTACTCTGAAGATTGTGATTAGCTAATGAAAACAGAAGGGTTACAGTGGGAGATGTTATACCTCACTGAGTCAGGTGCCCAACTACCTCACCTGTTCCCCAATGTGTTGCACATTTGGCCATCACCGAAAGCCCCAATGCCTATCTGGGAGAGATTGAGAGCTGCCAGGGGGATAGACAGCTGATGTCCCTCAGCATCCCTTCTTGCCTTCAGGAAACAGGCCTCATCCGGCTCCTCCGTCGGGAGATAGCAGCAGTTTTCCGAGACAACCGAATGATAGCCGTCTGCCAAAATGTGGCCCTGAGTGCAGAGGACAAACTTGCCATACGGCACCAGCTGCGGAAACATAAGATCTTCATGAAGGTCTTCCCCAATGAGGTAGGGGTGACTCTGTCACAAGGCCTGTCTTTTCCACCCTTTGCTTTCATGCCTGCCAGACAGAGGTTGGCTCTGCTCCCTCCATAGCCTACTTCTGACTCCTCCCTTAGCTGGCCTAGACAAACCACCTCCTAGTCGGGTGCCTAAGCTACAGTTAAGGGCTGAGGGGTTGCACCTTCACCTGATGTGGCCCATGACCAAGGTAAGTGTCACTTGTCCCCACTTTCCCCCCATCAGCCATTCTTTCTTGCCATCCTAGGTCCTGAAACCCTTTCTGGAAGATTCCAAGTACCAAAATCTGTTGCCTCTTTTTGTGGGACACAACATGTTGCTGGTCAGCGAAGAGCCCAAGGTCAAGGAGATGGTGCGCATCTTAAAGGGTGTGCCTTTCCTACCACTGCTAGGTGAGCAAACATTCCTGCCAGTTAGGGCTGGAAGTGAGGTGGGGCAGGTGCCACTAGCCTGGTGCCGTCTACAGGGAACATGCTGTCATGGATGGGACCAGAATCAATGGCAGGTTTATTGAGGGCTGACTGTCATTTGACACCTCTGTTGTCTCACAGCCCCACTTCTGTGCTAGAGGAAAGACTAAGGAAGACAGAAAGCGGGCTCTGGGGTGGGAGACAGCAAATTCAGACCCTTGAGTCTGCGATGTAGTGGGTGCTGAAACCCACACAGATAAAGGTATTTAAAATAAATAACTGAAGTAAAGGGTGCTGGGCCAATGACCAGTTTTTCCAGTTACTTCTAAGACTCACTAGGGGGCTTATCTGAAAAGAATATTGCCCATGTCCCTAGGAAATTTAATTTTATAGGAAAACCATATTTATAGTACCACCTGCGATTCTTTTTTTTCCTTAATTTTTTCTGTTGTAAAATACATATAATATAAAATTTACCATCTTAGGAGCCAGAATTTGTGGCACACACCTGTAATCTCAGCAACTGGGGAAGCCAAGGCAGGAGGTTTGCAAGTTCAAGGGCAGCCTCAGCAATTTAGTGAGACTCTCAGCAACTTAGTGAGACCCTATCTCAAAATAAAAAATGAAAAGGATTGGGGATATAGCTCAGTGGTAACACACCCCTGGGTTCAATCCCCAGTATGAAAAAATAAAATAAAATTTACCCTGTTAACTATTTTAATTAATTTTAATATTTTTTTTTTTAGTTATAGATGGACACAATACCTTTATCTTATTTATGTGGTGCTGAGGATCAAACCCAGGGCCTTACACATGCGAGATGAGCACTCTACCGCTCAGCCCCAGCCCCCCCTGCTAACTATTTTTTTTTTCTGTCTCTCTCTTTTTTTTATTTGTTTTAATTAGTTACACATGACAGTACAATGATCTTGACATATCATACTTTTGAATCAGATGGGATATAATATCTCATTTTTCTGAGTGTACAGTTTGCAGAATTACATTGGTCATACAGTCACGTATATACCCACAGCAGTAATAATGTCTATTTTATTCTGCTGTCCTTCCATTCCCCCCTTCCCCTCCCCTCCCCTCCCATCACTTCTCTCTACCCAATCTAATGTGACCCACTTCTTTTTTTTTTCCCTCACATCTTCACCTGCTATTTTTAAAAGTATAGTGATGTTAAATACATTTATAATATTGTGCAATCACCATCTCCATAACTTTTTTTTTTTTTTTTTTTTTTTTTTGAGACGGGGCCTAATTAAGTTGTTTAGGGCCAAGGCTGGGTTTGAACTTGTAATCCTCCTGCTTCAGCCTTCTCAGTCACTGGGATTACAGGTGTGTACCACCAGTCCTGGCTTCCATAACTTTTCATCATATATATGTGTATGTCATAGATGGACACAATACCTTTATTTTATTTATTTATTTTTCTGTGGTAATGAGGATTGAGCCCATTGCCTTACACATGCTAGACTAGACCTTTACCCCATTGAGCCCCAGCCAGCCCCTAATTTTCATTTTGTAAAATTGAAACTCTATCAAATAACTCCCTGTTTTTTCCCTCCACTCCATGATTCTGTTTTTAAGAAAGTTTAGGAAATGCTGACTTCAGGGGGTTGGGGCCATTGGATGCTTGATGCAAGTTTTCAGAAGGAAGGAAGGGAGGGTAATGATCTCTACTGATGGGAGTGGGTGTGGCAATGGAACCCAGACTTGGGCAGGCTGGGAGGGGAGAAAGGGGCAATGGAGAGCAGATTCCTAGGGTTGGAACATTATTTCTAGAGAAGACAGGCATTTGTGGGGAGCCCAGCTGACCCTCTGTTCTTCCAGGTGGCTGCATCGATGATACCATTCTCAGCAGACAGGGCTTCATCAACTACACCAAGCTGCCCAGTCTGTCCCTGATTCAAGGGGAGCTGGTAGGAGGGCTCGCCTTCCTCATGGCCCAGACACACTTCTTGCTTCAGCACCAGCCCATCCAGCTGACGGCCCTGTTGGGTCAGCATGTCAGACAGCAGCGAGAGGGGGACTCTACCACTTTGGCCAGTGAGAAGCCTGATCCTCCTGACCCTGTTCCGGACTCTTAGCCAGCCTATTTTGCCAAGCCATGCCCATAAATATACTCTGCTCCTGTTGACTGTGCTGTCTTCTGTCAGAGTTGTGGAAGAATTTGGGGTGGGAGAGTGTCATGTGACTTGACTTCTATTAACAAAGACCTTCTTGGGGGCAGGGCCACTTGGAGATACACAAGAATTCCATATCAGAATGGAGGCTGCTAATTACTGTCTTTTTTTTTTTTTTTCCAGTTGTAGATAGACACAATATCTTTATTTATTTTTAGGTGGTGCTGAGTATTGAGCCAGTGCACACTACCACTGAGCTACAGCCCCAGCCCCTAATCACTCTTTGTCCTTAGTTTTCCCAAATTGGGACCTGATAGTGCAAAGCCTGTCAGTTCTCCAGGTACAAGGCAAAGAGCCAGGAAAGATGAGGATCTTGCCTCTGCCTCCTTACCACAGTTCTTTACTGCATATATCTCCACAGCCCACCCTCTTGGGGCTACAACCTGTCACAGTAGCTCAGCTAAGTAAAGATTGTACACGTATCAGTTTATTCCTCACCATGTTGTCCCCATTTCACAGAAGATAAAGAGTCAGAGAAGTTAAATAGTCTGCACAAGGTCATGTAGCTAGTAAATGGCAGAACAGGGACTCAAATCAGACTTTCTGTTCTGATGACCTCACCCAGAATTTTGACACCAGGTGGGTTTGGGGTGAGCTCTGATGTTAATGCTCCACCCTTGGGGGGGGTGTGCCATGTTGTAGAGGTTGGAGCACTGCTTGTGATAAAATGAAGTATATTTTACAGACTCTGTTTCGCTGTTTACAAGGTTATTTTCAGGGTCGTCTCTGACTCTCCTCACTTCCCTTCCTAGAAGATTTTTCCTCTTCCCTCACCATAAATGGCATCTCTTCCATGCTTGTTCTTTTTTTCTTTAAAATGTTTTTTTAGTTATAGATGGACACAATACCTTTATTTATTTTTATGTGGTGCTGAGGATCAAACCCAGTGCCTCACACATGCAAGGCATGCACTCTACCACTGAGCTACAACCCCAGCCCCTCCATGCTTGTCCTTTTGAAGGCAGCTGACAGCTGTGTCCAGTAGCAAACATTCTCAAGTGGTTCTGCACAAAAGGACTAGGGTAGCTGGGTTCTCTGTTGACCCAAGGGTTCTGGGGACTCTAGCAGGACTCCCCCACTCTTGAGGAACCCAAAATTCCTAATAAAAAAACTGAATTAGTGGCCTGTCATTGTCCTTATAGGAGCACATCCTGGGTGAACCCAAGGATGTATCGGGAGGGCGGCTCTTTGGTATTCCTTCCCAGACTGGAGCAATGCCACAATGTCCTTGGTCCTGGATAGGTATATCTGGCAGTGATAATCTGCAGCAGTGTTTCCATGGCCTGGGCCAGGACCAACCACTCACAGTGCCCAATTTTGTCCTGGGTGCCCAGGGATGTCCAATTACTGTGAAGTGAATTAAAAGACCCCTGAGGCTCCTAGATGTGAGAGCTGGTCTGGCTAGTGCTGCCCAGGGCTGCTTAGTGGCTCTCCCAGCCTCCAGAACCCTGCCAGCTACTAACAACACTCCTTGTCCTGGGGAGGCTAGAGTAGTGCTGAGATTCTTTGTGGAGCTAGGACAGCAGGTACCTAAGAGATGCATGACTCTGAAGTGTGACCAAGCCCACAGGGGGACAAGGTGAGGTAGATAAGTAACCCACATGATTTCTGGGGCTGTAAAAGAACTTCACATTCTATCTTCACCTGCCTGAGTTGCCACCATTAAAAACCCACTTCTTTCCAAAAAACTGCTTCATTGCACTTAAAGTTGTCAATCTGTCAATCCTTTTGAATGAATTTTAGATCTTTCTCAAGAGCCAATTTTTAATTAGATTTGAGCAATTGGACTTATTCCTCTAGCAGAAGGGTAGAGGTGCTCAGAAAGGCAGGTGAGGGTGTCTAAATTGCCTTCCCTTTTCAGTATGTAGTGGGTTATTGCCCCAGACCTGCTCCTGGCCCAGAGACACTGTGCTCTGGGGTTTTGTCTCACTTCAGGGGCACTTCTGAACCCTCTTGAAGAGACATGGTGGGGCTTTGCTCCCTGAGAGCAGCTTCAGTGTGGGGTCATGGACTGTCCCCTCTCCCCCTGACTGCGCTGCTGACTATGCTCCTGGCACTATCTATTGTGTCAGGGGCGGGAGGGGGACATCTGTCCCTTCCCTGTCAACCTGATACCTTACCTAGCTCCAAATTTTGCAATCTATTTTCAGATGTAAAATGAGAGGCCAGGGTTAATAAGGAAATGGCCTTGGGCGCTCCCTTGGGTCAAGGCCACACTAGTCTGAACAAATCCTTTACCACTCTGGCTTGAGGCCAGCAGTTCCCCAGTCCTCTAATCTGTCTGGAACCGTGCCTAGTGGGGACTATGCTCCCATTCCCAAACCACGTTGGTCCACTCAGTCCTGAGTCCTCCGGGGAGCAGGGGGGCAGAGCTGAGCGGCCGCCCGGAGCTTGGCGGGAGGAGGCGACAGGGGGGAGGGGAAGGTGGGGAGATCCGGCTAGAGGGGAGGCTCCGACGTCTCCTTCCTTCCTGGTTCCTGCAGCAGCTGCTGCCACTGCTCAGCTCTGTGAGGAGGGAGCCGGTGACTCGGAGACAGTGACTCAGAGGCAGAGCGGTGCGCGGGCCAAGGAGCACTGGCGTCCATGGACCCTGGGGTAAGGGGGCTGCGCGACACAAGCTGACGCTCCCAAGGAGGGCTTCGTCCCACCTGGAGCTGGTGGGTCTGCTCTGGATCCAGGGCTGGGAATGGAGGTGGCAAGGGGGTACCTGCCTGGCTCCCCTCGACCCCCTCCTTCCTAATGGTAGAGCCTCCCCCTCTGCGGGCAAGCTGTGAGGGGTCAGGATCCCAGAGGCCAGGACAAGGGCACAGAGATACCCAAACACTGGAAGAGTTTGGTAACTTTCAATGGCAGAATGCAGGAGTTTCCCTTACGTTCAGCATCTTGCACCCTGGGCCCTTAGCCCCGATCTCCTGGCCACTCTTACCCTGCCACGTCCCTGTCCCCTCCGGGCCTTAGCTCCTCAGGTGCTTACTAGCTCCACAAGAAGGTCCAAGCTGCTTCCTCAGCCTTAGGACATCCTCGCCCCTTCAGTCCCCTCCCCCATACACACACACACACACACTCACACAGCCTCATGCATTATTGATCTCCTGGTGGAGCCAGGATGACCAGGGCCCGTGCCAAGGGCGCCTGTGGGCACTGCTGCGGGACCTGGGCGGACCTTGGCATGTTCTTGGCCACCTCTTCTGCCGCCCACAGTGTCTCCATCAGCCCAGTGTCCTGCTCTCTCTGGGTGGGTGGTGCTTCTCAGGAGCCATAGTAAGAGGATAGTGAAGCTTTGGAGGGGACTGAGGTGGGAATCCTACAGGCATGTTTTGTGGGAGGAGGCACAAGGGAAAATAGGGTCTATCTCAGGCCTCAGTTTCCCCAAGCAGAAAACAGGAGTCCAAGAACTTGCGGGTATGGAGACCAATCGGGGTTTGATGGGTGCTCTGCAGGGTGATAGTGGCAAAGGAGTCTCCACACCATTGCGCTGGGGGTGGAGGGTTTCTAGAGAAAGAGCTGGATTGAACTCTTGCCTGTCCAGTATCTGAGTCCCTCTGTCTCTTCTTAGAGCCTCTTCCTTCACTTCCCTGCTTTACCTCTGATCCCCATCCTGCAGGGAATCCTGCCAAGAAAGCACCTAGTGTTTCCAGGAGCCCCAGGATGTGTGCCCAAGCTGGGATTGGGCACACTTCTTATGGTTTTCTCCCAGCACCAACCTGTCTGCAGTGTGCTGGTTCACCTCTCTAAGCAGCAGCCATAACCAGAGGGTGTAGGCAGGGGACCCGCCCAGGGTGGCATAGGAACAGATGCAGGGTGTAGGGGAGAAGCATGGCAGGTGAGCCCTTATTCCCAGAGGGCACAGGAGGGATCAGAGGTGGGTAGGTGAAAGCAAGGGCAGCACTAATGGGGTCTCTCTCTTGTTTCAAGGGCCCCCTCAGGTTCAGGTGACATCTTTCCCCTTTGACCTGCTCTACATCCTCAGCAGGGAGTGGCCTCTCCCTCCTCCATGGACTTCCAAGAGAGGGACACCCCCTCACTGGCCGAGAGCACTCAGTCCTCGAAGCCTAGCAGCACGCAGCAGGTCTGAGGGGCAGCAGCAATGGGTGGGCCTACCTTGGGCCCGAGGGGCAGAGGCAATGCAGTGGGCTCAGTAGCTCCCTCCCTCTGCCCTGGACTACAGGCCTCTGAGCTGTGGGAGGTAGTGGAGGAGCCTCGGGGCAGGCTGGGAGCAGAAGGTGTCAAGCCTGAAAGGCAGGAAGGTCACCTGCTCAAGAAGAGAAAGTGGCCTCTGAAAGGCTGGCACAAGGTAGGCTGTGCAGGGCATGGGGAGGCTGCCTGGCTATGCAGGCTTTTGCACATGGAGGAGAAAAGCCTATGTGTGTTTGCTCTTCTCTGTTCTCTGTCCTCTGGGCCACGCGGTCTTACTTCTCCTGGGCGACTTCACAGAGGTACTTTGTGCTCGAGGATGGGATCCTCCACTATGCGACCACCCGTCAAGATGTGAGTCAGGGCCCTGGCTTGGGTTCTGGGAGGAATCTGCCCCAGGATGCCCTGAGCAGGCAGTGGGTATCTGGAATAACCCAGAGCAGGGTCCAAGTCCCAGGTACACCATTGGCTGAGTGAGCAGCCTCTGGCCAGTTACAGTGCATGATATTAGTACATAATGATGGGGTTTGTAATTACATATCCATACATGCACGTGATATTACAATATAATTTGGCCAATATCACCCCCAGCACTTCCTCCCTCCCTTCCCACAAAATGTATGTATTTTAAAAATTATATCTGTACTGAAAACGTACAGGTTTGTTTTCCTGTCACTACTACCTAAACATCAATACAACTATTTACACAGCATTGACACTGTATTAATTATTATCGATAATCTGAAAATGATTTAAAGTGTATGGGAGCAGGGCTGGTGTGTAGCTCAGTAGGAGAGCACTTGCCCAGCTCCATCCCCAG